CAAAAATAAATAAATAAATAAATAAACAATTAGGCAGAACTAAATCAAGTCGTTGATTTTACTTTTACATGCTTTCGTTATTACTATAAGTCACTTAATTCAAGTAGGTAAAGTCGTTCGCGCCTTAATGCCAAAAAAAATCTAAGGTTGAAGTTGTCGCACGGGAGAATTGTACCTTATCATCAAGAGCTAGATGATAAGACCGTTGTTGTCGGAGAGAAAGGCGTCTCTTGAAATGCCGTAAATTTTTACGCACGAATGAATAAGCTGAGCATTCACCGAGGTTATCGGTGAACCTCGAGAGATTGTTCACGTCTGATAGCTGGGAGATCTTCTAGCGGTTAGGACCCTACGTTGCGGCCGTAGTAACCCAGGTTCGCATTCTGGGCACGGCAATGTGCGCGAACACATTGTCACGGTGGTGTTTTTCTTATCTTTATCATTAGGTTTTCACCATTTTTTGCAAGTTCTACTGTTATACTAATTCCAAAATTATAATTTTTTTCAAATATTTCTTTCTTATCGTTTGAGCGTATAATTATAAAATCGTGAAAAGTACGATTCGATTTATTATTTCTATTTTTCATTTAATTCACACAATCATGAAATTAAAATCATGCATAGGATCCGTAAGACACATTACATACGTAATTCAAATTTTAATTAATCTGCTAACAAAAGCACATGCAAATTAAATATAAAAATATACATATCGACCAATAATAACATATGAATTAATATATCTATTTATCTCTGTAATATTGCAAAATTATCGCAATTCAAAACGCTCACCTAAAAACAGCAAATTTACTCAGTTCGCAATTGTACGAAATAAATGTACGAAAACAAATGGATAAAGGGTATGAAAAAAGTTTTCATAACTTCCAACTGAAAAATCAAGCAAATGTGTAATTACATTTCATTAATTCGTCAAATTATCATGGCACTGTAGCAAAAATGCGCATTTAAAAAAATTAAAATTAATCTACATTAAACAACGCTCGTTTAATTCCGCTTGCTTAAAACTTGTACTCTCTTTGAATTTGGTTCTTGGCCGACAATTCGGCCAAGAACAACATAGAAAAATATAGTAGCACAAACGACCGAGGTGACGTCATAAAATATGAAGACACACGACGACGACAAAACAGAAAGACAAAGAAAGTGGAAGATGAGGACGTAAGCTGCTGGACAGCTCGAGCTTGGGGAGGCTTAACTCAGTGATATTTAATATCCTTTTCCTCGCTTTCTCTTACGACAGCGGGAGACAGAGTTTAGCTTCCGGTGATCCATAGTAAATCGGAGCTGAGCATTAGTACTCGACTTTTTCTGTAGCGTAATATATGGCCACGACAAATTAATTACAATATCCACGAAGGGACAAGTTCAACTTGATGCATTGCTCGTCTCTACAAAGTAGACGTAGTGTAGATCATGAATATCAAGTAAGTACATAAAATATAGGCAGCAGTGAAAGTTTTTATTTAAAATAAACTCGTTGAGAGTCTGTGGTTCATAAAACGTGTGTTATTATAGACATAAATCATCATAGCTATTCTTATAACGGAGACAGCAAATATCAACAGTAATCAGTCATACGTTTAAACACAACGACCACGAAACCTTGTACCTTATAAATTTCGAGCCATATTTCAATAGTGTACATAATTTTGAGGCTTTACTAAATGAAACATCTGCTTCATAATTATTTGTACATATACTAGTATATTAAAAGCTGTTGAAATTTCATTACCAATAAACGCTTTTGCATCTTCATATCTTATCATTAAATTATCAAAGTAGAAAATCGATCGTTCGAGCCTTATAAATGATTTTACGCTGCGCAAAAAAAAAGATCCGGATGACGTCTTAATACAGAAATTTGTTTGGCTCTGACGTCAATGTGGGGATAAACTGATAAACTAGGGGATATGCGTATAACGCGTATCATCAACATCTGACCAAATACAAGTCAATTGTGGTCGATCCAATTGATATTTTGTACTATTATGACAGTACATCAATTATTATCGCGGTGAATTTCGGTATTCCGCAAGAAAACGATGAGAGCCTATTCAAATCGTAAAATCTAGAGACCAATAAATTGCGCCTGGACCGCGTTCTATGTCTACATATGATTCATCGAGCAAACGATAGAAAGTGGCATTTATCGGATGTCATTTATCAAGCAGATACTCTCTCAGAAATATCATTGCTCTTTCTATCCCGCTATTTTGAAAGGCAAGCACATTAGTGCGCCACAAAAGAAATGCATTTGTTACCGAGGTGCTTGCTTGCTCGGCAAAAGCACCCTTTCAGACTTTAGTTTGGCGGATTGGCAATGCTTTCCTCGCTGAGAATGTAATAAGCATATTGTTGTGTGCCCCGAAAATCTCGATTCGTAACAATAGAGCGCTGCTGTAATGACATGACGATTTCAAGGACACTTAATAGCGTACTCATTTGGCAACGGATGCTCAATTTCTTTTGAGCGTACAACGCGAGGAAGGGCCGAGTTTCTCAACGCTACACGATATCAGCGTCATTGCAAGTGAATATGCGCGATTCGCGCAGGGGGAGAGCAAGCAGCCAATGATATATTGATCGGAATGGAGTTATTATCCGTTTGTGTCTGCGTATATATAGCATCCGGTTATTTCACTGATCGGCGATGAGGAGAGCAATTTTATCACCCGTGCAACCTTTTAGCCCCGATTGAGTTTCGATATGTACGTTGCGTGTGCTTTGAAGACGATGCTTCACGGAAACGTACATTAATGGCACGAGGGAACAATCAATTGCGATTATTTATTGTATTTTCATTAGCCGCGCTTCATTCATTGAACTGTGGGGTTTGAAAATTAATTGACGAGAAGACAAGTAAAAATGAATAATTGTGTACTAGGAATATGTACGTTTGCAATCGAGTTTGAAAACTTCATAAAAATATATTATAGTCTTCTAATTTTTATGTAATATAAAACTCAATCTGTCAATAAAGTCAGCTCAAAGTAGTTTCAGCAATAAGGACAGGTAAAATTACTACAATCTCAATCCCCTCGTATTCTAAAAATTATTGAATATGTGCGGTTATTGAATGTTAAGCTTAAACGCAAAATCTTACGATACCTGTCCTAAGGCCAAGGCTTTTTATAGTATTTTCTGAATTTCGATAGGTTACTTTGTTTTCTGTCAAAAATTAGAATCTCAGAAATTAACGAACTTCAATTGACAATGATTCATTACAAATTTTTAAAAATCAAAATTTTGTCGATATTATATTGTTTATTGATATCTCAAGAACACGCATATAATTGTTGAAATTGCAATATTAAAGTTCGTGAATATGTAAAATCAACTCATTTATTTTCGTGCCGAAAAATTATCCAAAATCGTAAACTACACAAATGAGTTCCCATTCAGTTTGAGCATTTTTTTCGTGCACACGAAAGCATCTTCATTAAGAAATCCGTGAATAAAAATGAACTGTGTCTGGAGAAAGACATAAAGACAGAACGGCGCGTCGTGACGCCCCGAAAATGAAGGGATCGATAATGGAGCTACAGGAACAACATCGACACTGATGGAAGGAAGCAAGCGAGTGAGATAGGAAATACAATTATCAGCCAATCAACGCGACCCACGCAAAGTCGGCCTAATTGTAATCCCTTCCTTCTACCAGAACCGCCACGGCGGAACCTGCCAAGTCTTTCTCTTAGCCATCAACTCCGCGCTTCCGGACGACCCGCAACGTTCTTTATTTTCTTACAATCACGTTTGCTATATTCTCTTTTTTCTTTCATATAACATTAAAAGAATTTTAGTAATGGAAAACATATTTTGTTTATATTTGATATAACCATAAAATCTATTAAAAAATCATGAAATTTACCCTGCAGTGAAGCTCTTTGAAGTATGAGTTTCGCGAATTTTTTCCCCTTCATAAATCAAATGTTCGCACAGCTCGGTTTTCAAATACTAGTACTTGATATTCGACAAATAAAAGCATGAAAAGGTTTCGTACGAGATCAAAATTGTACCCCTTACAATGCGATTGAAAAACCAAAAGCTATAGTCAAACCGGATAAAAGAGGGTAAACTTTTTTCGTTAAATACTTAATTTCTATTACACCAAGTAAACAAAATTTTTATTATTAGCGTTACTAAAATAACCTACAATACATAGATTTACTTTTTATTTATAAAAAATATATCAGGAAAAAAGCATAATTCACTGAAACGCGATAGAAGAAGATAACACTGAGCAACAACGCGAAATTGTCATCGCGGGACGAGAAAAAACTTGTTTTCCCAAGCTCAAAACTTAATTATGAAAGTAAAAAGAGCTTTTCAGGCATCAGTTAAAAAAGGGCTTTGACTACTTTTAGAAATAGTTGTACGGTCGTTATGTTCAGGGTCGGCTGACGTCATGCACGTGTCGTTCGTCGAAAATATTGTTGTATTTTCGAATGCGCACAGCTATTATCTGTCTCCCGGTCGGTGCCGACGAACTTTATGAGATTACGTCTGAAAAACGTTTTCAATGGTTTTCATTTCTTCGTTATTTGGTCTACTATTTTTCTGAATGGACCGACATAAATCTAACACGGACAATGCACGCTTCAATTCATTCTTCATACTAATACCGTTTTTGAGGATATTCTTTCGCATTTTTAATCTTGTTAATTGTATATACGAAGCTACATAATTTTCAATAGTTGTTTATTTGTTGTCAGCCACATTTGCGTTCTACAACTAATACATTATTATAAATTTTTTAGTTAGTTATGAGAGTTAATTTGTAAAAGAGGATTTTCTAAATTAAGCACAAATAGATACTAAGCTATAAAGGCAGTTTTCTGTCCCAACTACTAAACTATTCACACACATCGATTACTCGCTAACCTGAATTTTATAATTGATTTTAAGACTGTTGTCATCATAACAGTATGTCTTGTATCGCGGCATGAGTACAAGTCACTGTACGCCTCGTAACTTACCATCTTTACGAGGATCTGTAATAGGAAAGATAAATGTTATTAAATCTGCCGATAACTCCTCTTTATCTACAGGTTCTTTTAGTAAATATTTTTTTTCAATGATATATACAGGTAAAATATTTTCCATTCTATAGCATTGTTGCTCTGTAGAATAGAAAGAAAGTTTCTCTTATTCAGTTTTGAACACTTGCGATGTTATAAAAAGTGATGAAATAAAGTAAAAGAAAAACTACGTTCTTAAACTTAAATGTGAGAAAGGTTAAAAGAGAATTTTTAAATACATTTTAGAAAAGCATTCCAACGTTTGATGATTATTAAAATTCGTCTTTTTGACGAACCATTGATGGCGTTTTCCATCCATTTGATAATTAAACTCAATTTTTTTGCAAAAAAACCGACCGTGTAATTCAATTTTCAGGAAGCGACGTTACGACAACCGCGCGCAACTGTGATCCAGGTCTGCAATTGAAATGCATGTCGTGAAAATCGATACGAGAGAAAAAAGAGATCCAGGAAGGAATGGGAAAAAGATTTGAAAGCTGGATTTCACGGAAAAAGGGTTTGGAACAAATGCACGAGTCGATATTTTTTTGTTGACGATTCGTTTAAATTTATAGAGGAAAAACGAATGAGTCGCTTTTTGCATATTTTGTATCACTTCTTTTTATTAGAAATGCAATGAAATATATTTGAAAAATGAACTGTGAAAATAGTGAAGACTAATTTATTAATTATCTTATCGCCATATACTTCTACTCAAACAAATATAATGATCATATTTCGAAGATTTTTCAATTCATTTCAGAAAGAAAATTTTCAATGGAAATAATTAATCTTTCGTTAGATTTTATACAACTTGATATATAACTCTTCACCAAATAATATATTACAAAATACTACAATTCAGAGCTCTTACGTATGCACTGTTTCTTCTTAATTGAAAAAAGCACTTGATACCTTTGACAACCCTATTCAATAAAGAAAATTGCGAGGTGAACCACTCATTTGAACAAGGTTTCCCCAAAAAGGGTTGATCTTGCACTCAAGCGAAATTCAAGCTTTAGATCGTAGACCAAGGAGAGGGACAGAGAGAGATAACTCAGCCACAGTATTTGAAGTATTTCAGTTGGTGCCCCTCTCTAAAGAACCGCAGAGACGCGTGTACCTAGACATCAAGAATTTCGATCCTTTTGCTGTGCCGCTTGCACCAGAAATTAGTGGTCGACTCGCAAAGTCTTAATTACTTGAATGAACATCTTTGCTATTTACTGAAACGTTGATTCCGAATACCATATGTTTCAATTATTTACTGTGCATTAGATAGAACCAATTCAGTCGGAAATATAATGCTTTATTTGCCATGAAAAAGAGAAGTTTACCGAGCATTTTATCGATTCAGATATAGCATCATCAACGCACGCATTGATTTCACGGGCAAAGCACAAAGACCTATGAAACTATAGCCTATGATTGGGGGTGTTAATGGCACTACTGTGCTTTGGCTTTCGCAGGAAGCGAAGCATCCGCAAATTGCGGTAACTTTAGCACGAATATTTCAGGATTTTGAATGTTTTTTATATGACAAAATCATTTGTTTTATTAATATTACATATAATGAAAAAGTACGAGGAAAATTTTTTTTTTCTACATTACCTCCTGAAGGAAAAAATGCTATTCCAACATGACTAAGCGCAAAAGACCATCAATATTTCAAGCAGACAACCCTCCTACAGCATAATATCAAAGGCACTAGATTGCCGATTTCACGCACTCAGACGGTTAATTATCCATCCATAGGCTACGGAACAAAACACGATAAAAAAATGCGCTAGGCGCAATTTCCGTGGCGTCGGAAGTTCTAGTAGTGCAGCGACACGACAGGTCAGCCACCTTTTCGAAGTCGCCGCGGAGCAGCGTCAAGGGGAGAAATCAATGGTTATACATTTTTTATGTCTGTGAAGCTAAGATATGCCCCTCTGCCACACACGCACAGATACACACATACACAGAAATGCTTTTGATATCTCTACTTTTTTTCATTGTTTCCATTGCTGCACTTTACGGTCTCGAGGGATATTTTTACTTGGAATAAAAGTTCACTTCTAGAGTGGTTTGAAATTATTGATTACGTATATGAAAAAAGCTAATAAGCATTATGACGTAGTACAATTATGGATTTTCACAAATATCCAATTTTACAATCGAATTCGTATTATTGAACAATATATTTCCCAACATAGATAAACCTAAATATCCTCCGATAAAAAAAAGAAAAAACAAGCAGACTACATTTACGCGTCCAACAAGATAAAATGATCGATGCTTAAAAGTACTAAAAATGACGCGTGGCGATTGATAAACTTAAAAATAGGCCATATGAAAAATCACAAGGGGAAGAAAAAAGTAAGATATAGGCAGAGAAAACAGGAAGTTGGCAATTTCTCAAAAGGTACTTTATCGGCTGTGTACGTGGCACACACCTTCTCGTTCGGTTATACAACGACGAAGATGTGTACAGCCACTTTAACGCGCTCGGCACGCGAGCCTATGCTACTACTATGGATATGCATCGCGATAATACGCCGAAGTTCTCTTATACACGTCATTTTCTCCTGTTTTCTGTCTTTCATAGAAAGAGCTTTGATAAATTTCCAATACGACAGTGTGACTTGAAAGCATGGTTGACTAACTTTGTTTTTTTTTCTTTTTTTTTGCGCTGCAGTTGGTATTGATTAAGTGCATTTCATTACTCGTTGACGTTTCACTAATTGTCGCACTGCGCACTTACGCGGGACCGTAACGAGCGTAAGCACCGTTAATGTATAATGAAGGTTATTTCCGGAACAGGGAATAAACACCGAGAGAGCCATTGAATCAAAATGTCGTTCTAGAGCGTGCTACGCGTTTTTAGACACGCAATTTTCAGATACTTCGTTCGGAAGCATCGTAATTTATGGGAAAATTGTACTGTGCTAGTCTTAGATTATTAAGCACCTGTGAATATATCTATAGGTATGTCTATCAAAAATATGATTTATCACGATACAGAAGCTGAAGAAATCGATTATCGACAGTAATCAATCAACGTATACGCGCGCTGCCGACTGGCTGTTGAGCAATACAAGCCTGTGCATATTTTTGACCAGCAAAGCAAAAATGTTGATGCGAAGCCAGGCAAACAGAGTATCCCTTATCGACAAGGCGGATAGCGCTTTGAAAATAGCCATACTCTCAAAAAATAACCGAATTAACTAGGTTGAACATTCCATTCCCAACACTGCGCCTGGCTTCTAATTAAAATTGCGAATGACGTAATGGCAAACAAAGAGAAAATATAGGTCTTTCCTCTCCTTTTTTTTCAACGCGCGCGTATATCACATGGTTTTATCAGTGACGCAAGCTTGAGATAACGAGCACTCGCCTGAAGGTAAACGTATGTGTGCCATAAGCAAATGTATTTGTGGCGAAAGAGCGCGTGAATATGTAGGGAGACGAAAGGCACAATGTAACCAAGTAGTCAGGCGGGGGGTGGCGCACGTACACTCGGACATAAAAAGCGTTTTTACAGCGCTGACAAATGGAGCTGAAATGGCTGCTAGGGTGAGGATGAATCGACCTCAAAATTTAATGTCCCGCGCGCGATAGATATCCGCAGGATTTCATTTGTTTTCAATGATAATGAAGCCACGATAAATGGTTGTAGATTAATCGTACGTATTCATTTTTCATAATAATGCGCATCATTAAGTAAGAAGCGAGCTGAGATAAGTTATTTGAGAGTCCGTGTCACTCATTGTCACCTTCCAGACGAAATCTTATGTTTCATTCAATGAGCAATTGCAACTTGAAATGTGCGGCTGACACACTTTCGTACAATCCAGCAATCAACGCAACACCGACAGCAGTGGCGACCGCGCGCAAGATCGGGAAGAGCTCCAAAAGCACATAATTAACCGCGCGAATATTCTCGGCTGAGTCGTTTTCGTTGTATGCGAGCGTTAAGGAAGAAGCCAAGCGAATTCAATAATTTCCGAAGCGGTGGGCCGCCCCTACGGAAATTGCCAGATAGCGCCTCCGAGACGGAGATATGTCTGTTTATCTTCCCATAATAACGGCGCGGTTTGTAATGACACGTGGGTTTACGCTCTCGTCTACGTTGCCGACAAACAAACTGACGCGCAAACTTTTCACGCGCAAAGTGATAATTATACGCGCGCATTTAAGGGCCGTGTGATATTCACGCTTTTGTAAGATAATCGATAAACTAATTATACCATCACGTAGTTCGTAAAAGAAGCAACAACTTTTTCCTCTGTTATTTGTTAGTTCGTCCTCCAAAAACCTTTTGAAAACAATAAAATAAGTTTTCGACGCTAGATTCTAGCACCCAGATCAGAGTTGCGGTAAAATCGTAAAGAAACGTGTTCATAAAACAACAATGCGTAGACCAGTTAATAGTTTGTGAGATGAGCTAACGCCATTCACAATACAATCTAGGATAAATCAATGATTTAAGTAATGACATATAAAAAACTGTTTCGGCCTACGGCTACTGACTCACTGCCAAAAACCAACAGGTACCACAGGTACTCTCACTCTCATTGTTTACCGCAGGTGGCTTAGTTGATTGTATCGGATCAAATTAATTAGCATCGTGACTCATTGTATTTTAAATTTTCGAAAAAAGTAAAATAAATATTTTTTAAGTAAAATAAATATTGTTTTTCGAAATTCTAAAAGGAAATATCACTTACGATGGTAATTACGAGTAGTTTGATCTAACGCAGCCAGCTCAGTCATCTGTGGTAAACAATGAAATTGGGGGCGCCCGGAGTAATGCAGAAAACATGCCGCGTCGCTATACTGTTTGGCCGTGAGTTAGTAGCAATAAGACAAAACATTTTTTATTATTAAACCAACTAACGATTAGTCTACGAATGGTTTTTGTAAACACATTTTTTTACGATTTTACCATAATTTCGATTTGGGTGTTACAATCCAGCATCCACGAATTA